GGGGTTGGGGGTCGGGCGTCTTTGGCGGGGGGAGGGGAGGAGAGAAAGCAGCTTCGGAACGACCACAAGCCACAGATGCGGCTCCCCGTCTCGTCCGCTGCTGTCACCCGCTTGGGCTTCTGGACTCTGGACGAGCCCTGGGATGAATGCCAGGCTCCCCAGCCCTGGGCAAACGATCCCACAAGTGGTGGTGCTGGCATCCCGCTCCCCCAGTCCACGTGGCCCAGTCCACGGGGCTCTGATAGCAGCTGAATGCAAAGCTGGCTCTGCTCAGCGCTGATTCTCTCAGGTCTGTGGCTGGCCTCCCTGGCCTCCATTCTGCATCTTTCCCCCTCTCTGAAACCTCCCTTGGTGCCACCTGACCCTTCCCGACCTGAAAGCAGCCCCCCAGGAGGAATCCCTCCTGCATGCCGTCTCCCCTTGGGAGGTAATGAAACACGGGATGCCAGAGAGGGTGCAGAGACAATTGCCCAGGGAACGGTGAGGTGTTCACACGTACCCACCTGTGCTGTTTGGACAGCGGACCTAGCCTGGTGGGTGATGGAGCTGCTCACTTGCCTGTGCCAAGATGGAGTCGCTTAAACCCGCGCTAGGGCTCTGTGGGGTGCGTTGTGTAACCTCAACACAGTGGATAGGTCCAGCGCGTTGTGAGAACAGCGAAAATGGGCTGACCCCCTGGGCAAACCCGGCCACCGAGACCCTGAAACCGGTTCACATTCTTCACACCGCTCACTGACATTCTCTTCAGGGAAACCAGATTCGGAGGCACTTTCTTTCCCGTGAAACGGAAAGAGAACGATTAAAAAAAAAGCAGAAGCAGAGCAGCGGCTCAGGAGCTGCCCCTGACTCGCTTACCTGCGGAGAACGTTTCTTGCGGGTAGAAATAGTAAGCGCAGAGCCCAACCAGGAGAGCCAGGGCGATCCTGATCGCAGCCATGGCCAGCTTCTGAGATCAATCATTAAGCTGCAGCACCTTTTTCTTCACAAGCTCATTACAAAGTTCAGAAATGCAGTTTTTCCAGCTCTGATGAAAGGCAGGAGATGCTTCTGCACCCAATCAGAGGATGGCTCCAGGTGGGATGGGAGAGGTGGCACTTCATCCGCTGACTCAGGTGTTCCCTCGGCCTCCGGGACAGATTGCAAAGGAGCCAGAATAAATATTACAGCGGTTTCCAAAGCTGCCTGGCGGGGCTTTGGCCCAAGACCTTTTGGGCCATGAATTTAAATTCCGGTACGTGTCCATCACGCTGATGTAAAGCATGAACACTGCAGATATCCGTTCTGCATGCCCCCCACCGGTCCTTCAGAGGAGGAGGATGGTTTCTGGACCTGGCTCAGTGTGCAAGAGTTATCTGTTTGATTTGATTTGGTATGACTCCCAGAAACTTTTGTAGAGTAACAAAACCAACAATAAACGCAATACAATCCCTGCACTCAGGCTTCCAACATAAAAGGAAGTATAGATGAGGAGGGAAAAGGAAAAGGCGAGAAGTGGCTCTAAACGTTTCATGCTGGGATGGAGCTGGAACATTTGGGTGGATCAACTGAAGCCTGGAAGCAGAAAAGCCTGTTCCATAGCAATTGGTTCTGAGGGCAATAGGGAGTCGATCAGGTTTTTCTGCTGTCTTGCGTGGAAGGCTTGTTGATTTTAAATGGATTTTGTTCCTTTTTATTTGTCCTTGCATTTATATCCCATCCTCTACCTGAGAGCACCCTTCTCCAAGGTGGGGCAGAGGTAGGTTGGGCTGGGAGAGAATGATCGACTCAGAGTCAGATCATCAGATTGGGGCCAAATTGGAACCCGGATCTCCCCAAGCCAAGCTCACCACCATCACTGCTGGAGAGGTCAGTCTGACCAGACCAGACCAGACCAGACCAGACCAGACCAGATGCTCCTATGAGTTCCCAGACCTGTCCTCCTTTTCTGGTTAGCTCTGCGCCGATGGCCCTGCCCTGTTTCACCTCAAATCTCCCTCCTGGTGAGTCACTACCCCCTGGGTGCCCTGGGGTAGAGGCAATATTGGGGCTTGGCTGCAGTTCCTCAGTCTTATTTGTATTTTATGGCCCGTCCAACCAGTTTGAAATATGACTGGGAGATTCTCTCCAGTCCACCTTCTCCTGGGTTTGGACATCTCATGGCTTCCCCATAATTTTATGGACCAATTAAATAGGGCCACTCACAACACATGTCCAGGTTCTGAGATGTCAGATCACCCTAACAGACCAGCAATCCTCCCATTGTGCAATCATTACTCTGCGTAGCCTGCTTGTGTATGTCTGAGGGGGGGAAGGAAGAATTAGCCCAACAGTGCTGAAACCTTCCAGCAGGGATTTCATCATCTTGTGCCACTATATTATTTAATTACTTAAAAGAGGAAAGGCACCTTGGGTGTCCGATCGCTTTTAAAAAAGCAAATAAATCAACACATTTCTGAATCGTAATACCAGAGCTTAGGTTTTACCATATCGTATTCACATGTAGCTGAGTCCTGTGACTTTTCTGTGCTTCTGAGGAATGACAACAAAGATTTATCTGAAACGGATGCCTTTATTCAACTCCCCATTCAAAAGCAACCAACAGCAGAGCCGGTGTGCAGGAAAAGCGCAATTTAATTTCATGGACATCTGAAGTTTGCAGAAGGCCCCACTTGGGGGTTTGTTTCATGCCCAGGATACAATATTTACAGTAGTAAAAAGGTAAAATACTGTCCAATGGAATCTGTGATTTGCCACTGAACTGCGAGATGAGAGCGTATACGAGAGTGTATAGTAAGTCCCACCCAGGCTTACTAGCCAAAAGGTGTTTCACGTGACGCAGGCCACGGCGTTCCAGATTTTTCCTCCTTAACTCAGCTCCTGGCTGACTCATTCCTCCTGGGATTTCCACAACCTTGATTTCAAGAGCTGCTGGTTGGTATGGCCTCTACAAGCCCTGTGAGAGATTCTTCTATCTCCACTAAGCCACGATGGAACCACCTGTGGGGGTGAATGAGTCAAGAGAATAGCTGGAACGCGAGACATTTATTTGAGAAAGATGGAAAGAGAGGTTTGAAGGAAGAGGGTAGTGGGAAGATTTCCACGGAGAATCTATTCTAGAAGAGGATGCCTCTTGGCGTTTTGGCCAGTGAAATGGCTTCCTGAACAGACAACACATCGCAGGGAACCTGATGGTAGCAGAAAAGACAGGTGTTTATCAAAAGCCAACAGCTGGATTCACACACCCTATGAGGTCAGTGGGGGGAACAATATGTTGTATGAACCTCCTCACCCAATCAGGTTTGGGGCAAGAAAGCAGCAGCTTGAACTCAAAACTGTACTGGGGCAATTGCGAGTGAAACTGCCATCTCCCAACAGCCTATTCAAAGTGGTTAAGACCTACCCAGCTAGTCCTCCAAAGAAGTAAGACAGAAGAGCAGAGTGTTTGAAAAGAGGATTCTATGACAAAACATACTTCCCAAGCCCGCGCCTCACCCACCCATGAAGGATCACAGAATCCTAGGGTTAGAATTGTCAGACCATCCCAGACTGCACGACGTTTGCGTGAAAGCCTCCAGTGATGGAGTCTCCATGGCTCCAGAAGGTTCATGTAGTAAGCTTGGCCACTATCCACCTCACCCAAGGGCTCGAGAGAGATCAGGCTGGGCTGGGAGAAGTGGGTAGAGACTCTCTATGCTCCCAAGAGTGACCCTCAACCTGTTCTGTGTCACTGTGCGCTAGACAGCAGGCTACCAGCAGTAGTACCTTGTGTTTGTTTCCAGGTCAGTGAAAGACCTTGTGATGAGTTCATCCACCATGCTAAGCTTTGTTCTAACCGTGATCAGTTCCCCCCCCCCCAATGTACAGTATTGGGCAAACTCATCTCATGTGGTCTATAGTTCAATGGGTTATGTAAACTCAGAACATGAGTTAATTTGAAATCCAGATTAAATGTGTTGTGTAAAGGGAAATTGTATGTGGTAAACCCAGTATGTTGTAAACCCAGAAGTAACAACCTTTGGGGACTGAGGGATGGACATATCTGGAGTTTTGGAGCACATGACTTACCTCTCATCTTGTGAGACCACAAAGCTGTTTTTAGACCGTGGACCGCTTTACCTTCCTCAGTCCTTCCGGCTACCTTTTTGGAATTTGACTGCCCCCTGGAGCTCAATCCAGCCCAAATCAGCAGCTTCCCCACAATTACCCTTGAATCTTTCCTTGTCACTCAAAGGAGAACTGAAGGCAGCAGTGCCCCACAGCGGGAATTCAGCTTTAAAGAGGCTAAGGAATCTGCCCGCGTGGGGCCAATGTTAATGATGGCAATCGGCAGCTTCCTGTCCCGGGCTGCAAGTGCAAATTTGTAAGCTGAGAAGACCTGCCAGACACAAAACAGACATTTGTCAGCTGAAGTGAAGCCAGGGCTGAGATGTTCTCCTAACTGGGTGCCCTCTGGATGTGCTGACAGATAATGCCAAGCATCTCAGCCAGCAGAGTCTTGGGCCAGCTCTGGCTGAGGATTAGGGAGATGAAGACTAATAAGGGGGACAACTCGGGGTGGGTAAGTGGGAATCTGGACTACGAGACCCAGAATCCAGGCGTTCCAAGGACAAACCCTCGCTTGGCATTTTCTTTCTGGAGTAATCTGCAGATGGGCTGTGTTTTGTTGAATAATAAATAATGCGCTGGGTTGACCCAACTGTGCTGCAGAAACTCCATCAGGGATTAGCCTGAACCCAGTTTCTCTGAGCTCCAGGGGTTTCTGCCTTGTTCCAGTGAGGGGCACGGGCAGAAAGGGGGTCACTGAGCTTCAATCTCCCTTCTCCCCATGAGGACTAATCTTGCTTGCTGGCCACTAAGCGTCAAACACATGAGCAGGGTCTGGGGAGGGGGCTTAAGGCTGTTATAGCAGGTAGCAAGCAGGCTGGCTGACAGAAACTGTCACCGACTTGCCAGGGTTATGATGACTAAGATTGGCATGATTTGGAAAGTAGAAGACCCCCATCATAACACTCAGAACCAAGGTTGCATTCCAGTGACATTGTCGGAGCACCCTCAAAACTGCAGGGTTCTAGATAAAGGTTTGCGTCTGCCCCCTCACCTAACTAGAGAGCTCTACAACCTAGATTTTGGGGAGCCAGCCTGTTGGGCAGGCCCTCGGCAGCTTCAAGGGCCTTAGTGCCCCACAGACAATCCAGGTCCCAGGATTGGAGAAAGCCGAGGCAGGGCGTCACGGGGACGCCCCCCTTCCGTGCATCCAGGAGCCAGAGATACAGAGGTACCTGCAAGGAAGACCCTGCCACGAGGACCGCATCCGATTCCGCAAGACGCTGGTACACAAAGTCCACTTTCTCCTTGCACACATTGTCCCCGAAGAAAGTCACATCTGGCTTGAGGACCCCGCCACACCTGCTGCACGACGGGACCTGGAAATGGCGCACCTGCTCTTCTGGCAGAAAGACGTCTCCATCGGGGGCCACGCCGTGGGCCTCGGCTGTCCATGTGGGGTTCAAGGCCTCAAAATGTTCCTGGAGTTGCACACGGGAGACCCGGGCCCCACAGCTGAGGCACACGACCCTGCAGAGCAAGAGGTTTTTAAAGCTCTCCGGAGAGGTGGATTTCGAAGCCCTGGAACAAGGAACAGACCTTCTTGCGGCTTCTAACAGCAGAATCCCTCCCCCCAGTCACTAAACAGATTTATATAGAATTGTTATTAGTTAATTTTATTATGGATATTTATATTTTTATTGTTTTTACTGCTTTGGATTTTAATTGTGAGCTGCCCAGAGTCACTCTCTGGGGGAGATGGGCAGCATATAAATTTAATAAATAAAGTAAACAAACAAACAAACAGGAAGCAAGGAAGGCAGGTAGGTGAGAGATTTGGGGCAGAGAAAAGTGTATTTTTTCCAGGGAACTAAAACACTGGGGAGCCAGATGAGGAGAGAAGAGCACCGTCTCACTCCCCACAGGCAGCAAAAGGCTTGGGGCTCTGCCACTGACAGACATGATCAGACATGACCAACTCTCACATTGGCATGGAAGATGCCTTTGTGCTGAGCTCAGCTGCTGCCGACTCCCAGGACGCCGCTGTGTCATCATCTTCGCAACGGCATGGAAAGGCTTTGCCTTTCTCCACGGTATTTTTCAACTTCACAGCCTAGCTGGAATTTCTGAGATTCCCTGGTAGTCCCCCATCCAAGCAGTAATCAGGCCTAATCCTGTTTAGCTTTCAAACCCAGAGAAGGTCAGCCAGATGCTGAGATTTTGTGTGAACATGAAAGAACAAGAGTGATTTTACACATAAATCACAGAATAAAGCCATGGTTTACGAAACTGCCTGGGTTCGCGCAACACCTTACACCTGGGGCACACAACTTCCATTCGCTCAAAGAAGCTTCTGGTGGGATCCTGACGTCCACACTTCCAAAGCGAGGGGACCAGGGGCCACTTGGGGAGGGGTTCAGAAATGTAGAGAAACTCCTGAATATGTAACAACAAAGCAGGCAAGCCTTTGGCCCAAGCCTCCGCAAAGAGAAGTTGGTGCATCCTGAGGCATGAACCATGCTTTACCAGCCACAATTAGTTGGGTTCAGCCTTGCTGCTTAAGCCATAAATCTTGGTTTACAGACCACAATTGGTTGAGTTCACACAACATGCTAAGCTGAATTTGAGCCAATCAATTTCATACTTATGTATGTAAACTAGATGCCAAGCCTTCCTTCTTCGATGTGAAACAGGCATCGCAACAGAGGCCATCTCAGAGGTGCCCCCTCAAGCAAGAAGGGCATCGCTCTTCTTTTTAGAGCTGGACTGTCGTAACTTTTGTCCTGATGCTCAAAATCCATTTAATCATCTATCCCTGTCTGATGGGGGCTGTGAAGGACGTTTTCTTCGAAAAAGGCCTCCTCCGTCATCCGTGGCTGCCAACCATGGGGAGTCCCCTTCTGCTAAATCTGGCAGACAGCAGGCAGGGGTCTGAGCACTCTTGCCCCCCTGCCCACTGTCACAGATTCATCCCTTGCCTGCTGCCAGCCCAGCGCCCTCTCCCACACACCCAGAAGCCAATTTGCTTCCTGGCTTTTACTGCTTGATTTTAGTGACTTCTCCGTTATGAGAATCATAACCAAAATCCACCTGTTGAACTCAGAGAAGGACAGTCTGGACAGAAGGGACATGCCCAAGATATAAATTAATGGGTTCTACTCATATGGTCTCAGCATATTATGGCCGCAAAATTGTTATGCTAATGTTTTCCTACGTGAGTAAGCAGCACGAAACATGCTTTCTCTTTTTCTAACAGTGGGAATACTCCCAATAGAGTTTAAAACTCTGCCACCTGTAAGCAGAATTCGATTCTTTTTTCATTTGACTAGTTCTGTATCACATCATGGCTCCCGCATCGCAGTCCAGCTGCCTCCTTTTATCTTTGGCAAAGGAATGTGTGGGGTGAGCAAAGACGCATCTGCCCATGCTCAGACTGGCAAGACGACGCTTGTCCCTCGCAGACACGCACACCCCACAGATATTAAAATAAATCGCTAGCAGTTGCAGCTAACGGTGCGGCAGGATCGTGTCCTGCACCACCTGGGAAGGCAGTAGGCAAGTTTAGGGGATGCAGGAAGGTCAGGTGGACCTCCAGCTCCCTCCTCCAGCAGAAAGAAATGGCAGGGGCAGGCTGCTGCCCAGCACGGGCCGCTTGAGAAAACTGCCAATTTGGTCCTAGGGCAGGGCGGAGACACTGGAGAGGCACCCGGTGACTCAGGACTGACCAAGGTTCACCAAGCTCAGCGGAAGCCTGGCTGCCCATCCTAAATGTCTGCCTGGTTTGAGTGCAGCCACTCAGAGGCTGGTGTGATTGTCAGCCCCACGGAAGCTGTGTGCCCCACCGTTTTCCAGCTGCACTCAGACCGAACAGCCACAGGGCCAGGCGAGGGCTGGTGTCTGAAATGCAGGCAGCAGGGTGGGGGAGAGGCGCCTAGCGGCTGCAAAGCCATACCCCTTCCCAGGCAGGCTGGGCCCCCACTTTCCCCCCCAACCTGTGTGTGCAGCCATGCAACTCGGTCATGCGTTGACTCCCAGCCTTGGTATGGAGGGCATCCACGTTCTGGGTCACCAGCCAGTGCAGCTTCCCCTGCCGTTCCCAGTTGCTCAGAGCCCGGTGTGCCACGTTGGGCTGGTGGGAGGAAAACTGGGGCCAACCCACAAAGTTCCTGGCCCAGTATTTCTGCCGGGCTGCAGCACTGCGGAGAAACTCGGTGTGCTGGACGGGCCGTCGGTCAGACCGGGCGTAAAGGCCCACGCCTTCGGAGCGGTAGTCCGGGATGCCGGACTCAGTGGAGATTCCTGCTCCGGTCAGGACAAAAAGCCGGTGGCAGCGGACAACGAACGCCTGGAGCTTCTCGATCGCCACAGCATCCGGAGGGGGGCTGGCTGGAACAAAAGCCAGCGAGGGGGCGGCCTGGGGCACGGAGGCGTGGGAGCCCCAGCGGTGGAGTCCAAGGACCGGCCGTCCTTCCAAGCCCTTGAAGACAGAAGGAAACTTCATCTGGGTGAAGACAGAACAGGGTAAGGTCAACCATGGCTTCCAAACTGTTCAAGGTGATCTTTCTTGCCCCACTCTGCCCCAGACCTTTTGGGTGGGGCGGCAAAGGCTAATAGAGTTCTGTCAAGAGAACAAGCTAGTCATAGCAAACACTCTTTTCCAACAACACAAGAGACGACTCTACACATGGACATCACCAGATGGTCAATACCGAAACCAGATTGATTATATATGTACGTTGCAGCCAAAGATGGAGAAGCTCTATACAGACAGCAAAAACAAGACCATGAGCTGACTGTGGCTCAGATCATGAGCTCCTTACTGCAAAATTTTAGCTTAAATTGAAGAACGTAGGGAAACCACTAGACCACTCAGGTATGACTT